CAGCAAGTGAAATGGTTTGCCCACTTAGAGAGAATGCCTTGTGACACCATACCATACAAAGCATTACATGGAAAGAGAAGAAGGACGTAGAGCACGGGGTAGACCAAGAACAAGATGGAAGGATAACATCAGAGAAACTCTACAACAGCACAATGTGCCTATGGTCGAGGCAGCCAGAAGAGCTAGAAACAGAACCTTATATCTCCCTCAACACCCACAGCGGTAAAAGAGGAGGTGAAGAAGAAGAAGAAGATGGCAATATTTCAGACACATTGGGAGACAAAGTGGAGAAAGAATAACATAACAGGAAATGAAAAGAGAAACAAATTTACTGAGGTAGTGAGGACAGCCAAAAGAACTTATAGGAAAAATGTTGCTGAGAACAGCCAAAAGTGCCAGATTGAAACATGATTTCAAGAGGATTACACAGGATCGAACAGAATGAAGGAATCTACTGTAAGTCCCTGACAAATAATCAGTGCCCAACAAAATGATGATAATGTTACTAAGGTCTGTAGAGGAAATAAAGAATAAAAAACAATGTGAAAAATCATGCATGTCATCAAAGGCTAGACTGATGATATTCCCCCTATGTTCCGAAGCCCATTCTGGAGGGCGGGGGGAAAAACTAAAGTCCAAGTCTAGAAGAAGAAAAAGATGTGAAAAAAACCAGAACTTTCTGCTAAACATTTAAGAAGAAGAAGATTGGTAAGATAATTACACAGAAACTTTATCCGCAAAATCAAACCAAACACGAACAATTCTACACAGGGCTTCATGCGAGTCTGCTGTTGGCCTATGTTTCACTGTGAGCTGACTACAAGAAAAAAAAATGTTCAAGTCATGATCAAGATGGAGTGAGTTACATAACAACTGCCTGGGCACACCAAGAAAAAGTGAAATGTGACTTCTGGTACAGACAGACTTAACAGGGGGCAGGCATGGCTTCAGATTATGGTGTCTGCAGCAGGTCTAAAAGAAAATCGGTTTCATTCCTGCAGTGTGTCGGATTCTTTCACAAAAGCCACTGGCTTATAATGATAATTAATGTCACCTAAATCTATTGGGTAGTGAAATCAAGATTTCTAGTGGAGAGTCCTAATGTTGTGCACACTAATATTCCCAAGGCAACTGGAAACTTAAAAACAACAAACCATAAGGCCTCTTTCCTGGCAAAATCATTAGGATAGAAAACCTACAGGTTGCACCACTGAATTTGATTGTTATTGTTGATTTCCATAAGGTACAAAATACTCATTCTGTATTTTCATACCCCTAGAACAGCGGTTCTTAACCTCTGGGTTGCGACCCTTTTTTTTGAGTTAAACAACCCTTTAACATGGGTCACCTAAGACCATTGGAAAACACATATGCATTGAAGTTATGAAGATAATTTTATGGTTGGGGGTCATCACAACATGAACTGTATTGAAGGGTCACTGCATTAGGAAGGCTGAGAACCAGTGCCCTAGAGCCTTAATCATTCCAGTGGATCAAACTGTGAAGAAAAGGTGCTGGTGTCGAATAGAAAACACGCTGAGAAAACCTGAGAATATAATCAGAATGTCTTTGCAGTGGAACCAAAAGGGGCTAAAAATAAAGGCAGATAAAAAAAAACATGGAGAAGGAAGCTAGAAAGTGAAGTTAAAAAGACAGGGAGGATATGGTGAGCTGCAGTCAACGGCGAAGAATAGAATGACTTGGCATGGGTTGGTTGACAGCTTTGCTACACTGGGGGATAGAAGGCAGAAGAAGAGCCTTAATGTAAATTTCTAGTTGCTTACTCATTATTCAGGTTTCTGCACTTGATTTTAGGGGTGAGTAAATATGCAAAAACAAAACAAGCAAATTTATTACACTTCACTGAAAAAACAACAAAAATACTTTAAAAAGAGCTCAGTAAAGGGGTAAGTTGCAAATGTGTTAAATCTGAAGAGAACAAAAACCAAAACACTGTTGTGCTTTCAAATATGCAAGTAGAGTAAGTAACAACAAATATATTTAATTCAAATACTTATATGGACATGAATATCTCAAGTGAGATTACACAGCTTCACAGAAAACACAGTCGCAGCAATATATCTAAGATCACAGCAAGACAAGTTATGGTGTTTACTGAGTTAGCAGCAAAACAGGAACACAGAGTTGTTAGATGGCAAAACACAGCCAGAGTTATTGTATTAGAGCACAATAGCTTGGTTGCTGTATTGGGAACACAAGCTACAACTCTGGGTATCTTATTAGGAATACAAGAAAATCAATCTATTGATAGTGTTTAGGAACACAAAGAAATACAATTTACTGGCATTGTTTAGAAACATAAGAAAATAAATCTACTAGAATTGTTTAAGAACACAAGAAAATTAAATCTACTGGTATTGTTTAGGAGCATTTAAAAAAAATCTATTGGTTTTATTTAGGAACCAGGAGAAAATAAACTGGTCACAGGTTTGAATGCCACCAAGACGGAATCTAAAAAAAAAAAAAGGCTCAGACACACCCTAAAATGTGTACCAGGAAAATGTCCCACCAAGTAAAGGCGGCTGGTGTGATACTGGTCACATTCTCCACTGGGTGCTGACTGGTATTTAGAAACAAGAGGTTAGCATCATAAACATGAATTCTTTAGTTCCACTTATACTAGATGATATAGGATGATGTGGGATAGAAGACACAGGAACAAGAGTCGTTCAGACAGGCTGCAATCACATTAACATTAAGTAAAGGACAAACCAGATGATAGTGATGACATCGAAAGCATTAAATATGAATAATATAAAAAGTGAAGCTAAAATCTGAAATAAACAGCACTGAGAAGACATCGGTCTATCCTATCTGACTTTAAGTTACTACAACCACGGAGGCCTCAGTATAACTTTGAAGTTAAACAGGATTTCAGGGATCGGTGTATGGGGTGCTCTCATCCAAATGCTGACATGAACAGACACAAGAGAATAAAACCACAATGTTGGATAGGGCACACACTGAGAAAACAGGAGAACAGCATAACTAGAATGTCTTTGCATTGGAACCCACAGGGGCATAGGAATAAAGGAAGGCCAAAAAACACATGGAGAAGAGAGCTGGAGAATGAGGTTAGAAAGATTGGGAGGACATGGGGAGAGCTCCATGTAATGGCGAAGGAGAGAACGACTTGGCGTGAGTTGGTTGAGGGCCTATGCTCCATTGGGGGGTAAAAAGGCAGAAGAAGTAGTAAGTAAGTTTAAAGTTAAGCCTAAACAAATCAAATTTCTATGTAAGTACGTCTTCGTTCATCAACAAAGTCAGGCTAAGCTGCATGTATTATAATTATGTATACCACAACATAATGAAAATGTTTAAAAACTTCATGAAATAGAAAATGAAGCATGAAAATAAAGCAACAGTTATACATATTAACATACAAGAATTCATAACACAAAGTAGTTCAAATATACAATTTAGAAACGACAAATTCTCAAAAGTATTTACAAAGCAACATGGTTTTTCTCTTCTTCTTCTATCCTATTACTTATGCTGTAAAGCATTGCAGAGAGGAGTAAGGATGTAGTTTCCTGTCATTTGCTGATTGTGTTGTGAAAAATTAATGCATTCAGAACAAATCACACTGAGTACACTGGTTACCCCTGACATAAGCTTTAGTAAACAATTGTTTTCCCATGTAGCTGCTATGATAGATTAACCCATGCTTTCCCACATTTTACTTTAACCCTTTTTACTGCTGGATTTTAACCCCTTGAGAAAAAAATATTGTTACCGTAAATAAAGTTAGTTGCGTATCCTTTAAAGGATGTTACAGAACCAACCCCAGCATTTTTTTGGCTGTTGTGGTTTCTCTAGGCAAATAAATGCCCAGTAGTTTGCCACTGCTTTCTGGATGGTTGGCTTCTTAATACCACTGTCGAAAATTAACGCAGGGCACAAGGCCCGCAGCTGGGGTCGAACCCGGCACCCCGGCATTTCTGAGCACGTTCGCAGCGCCTAAGCCACAGACATAGCAGAAACTTAAAAAACACATTAAAGATGCATTTTGGGGGGCTAAAAGAATTAACAAAATACTAAACTTCAAAGTCGGAGTACACATGCCTGAAAGTTGAGGGACCAACAGTCTGCATAAAAATAAGCCAGATCTGTAAAGCGAATATGCATGCAAAACTCAAGTTCTGGCACAAAATTCAAGCCCAGAAGCGGACAAACAACCAGAACTTTCTGCCAGAGTTTACAGCTGATGAACATAAAGAAGAAGAGGACTAAATAGCTCTGAGCTCCACCTGTTATTCTTTCATAAATTTTGAAACTTTTTAAATTTCAAGTATAAAAAAAATTTACTTCTTCTTTATTTTCATATTTAATACCTCATTGCCATTTCTGTTTCTTCTGCCAGGAAGGGATAAAAAATAGCTGAGGTCACAGGTAATTTATTTCACTGCATTTGGGAAAGTATGGTTAAATGGTAAGATAAAAATTGAATTTATTAGTAGCACAAAAAATAACTTGAAGCTGAAACAAAACAGTTGTAAACCTTTCCTTTCAGTGACTTTTTGTAATGAAATTATTTGGCAGCAAAAACTGCCATTCTGTAGTTGTCTTAAAAAAAAAATAAAGAAACACCGTGAAATGTGAGGATGTAAACTGAATAGCATAATATGTGATCCACAGCTGTGAGAAAATGATATTTTTCATGTTTCATTAAGGGACTTCTTTCAAGGAGAAATTATCTTGCAGCAGAAGCCCAAAAAATATTTCCCCATGAGTTTACGAAGATATGTTTGAAATGCAAAACTATTTAGTTTATGAATATATTAAAAGCACAATCAACAGATACAACTACAACAAAACAAAATTATAGTTCTTGTTTCATGGACTTCCATTTACGAACAAAATATGAAGCAGCAGAAGCCAGAAGTCCTTTGTTCCACAATTTTGGAAACAAAATTTGTAAAGATAAATATATTTGGATATATTAATATGAACTGTACGGAAGATGAATGCTTGAAAGTTTAACTAGTGGACAGGTCCTGAAGACATTGTGAGAGGCCATCCTCAGATGAATCTGTGAAGCGTTCGATCTGGTACGGTCTTTGAAGATTCTCAGGTAGCCCACAAGCGCCATCCCAGTATGCTTCATGGTAACTGTGTGACTGCAACAACAAAAATATAAACAGGTAACAATTATCTATATTTTACACTATGTAGGTCCAAAGGTCTCATTTGAGGCATCATTGTATGGAAAACAAGAATAGAACCACTGCCTCCCCAAAAAGCATGCCCTAAGAGTTGATTAACTGGGTGCATCCTTCATGTCAGAGAGCATCTGCCTGAGAAGCAAGGAACCAACAATTTGCATACAAATAATTCAGATGTGTAAAACAGATGTGCATGCAACACTCAGGTTCAGGAACAAGACTAAAGTTCAGAGATGGATGAACAACTTTGTTCACCAACGTTCACAAAAATTGCTTAATCTAACACTAATATAATGGTACTACCTATAAGCAAAAGGCAGAACAAGAAACAAGTGGAAGGACAACATCAAAAGAAGGACTGACTGACTGAAGCTGTAAATGTACATTTAAAACAGGTGCTTGAAGTGGACTGACTATTCCCCTCTATTTCTGTAAGTGCTCATCAATACCTGTAAATGTATTTCATGTGCAATTATGACCCACAGATTTCTTTAAGGAATGGGGAAAAAACAGGGGACAACGATAAAAAATGAAAAAAAGGGGGAGAAAAACATTGGAAGAATGGGAGTAAAACTGGAGGGAGTGGGAGTAGGAGAATCATAGAATGGGAGTAGAACTGGAGGGGCTGGGAGTAGGAGAATCATAGAATGGGAGCAGAACTGAAGGGAGTGGGAGTAGCAGAATCATAACATAAAAGTAGAAGCAACATAGAAGCTTTAGCATGAGAAGAGACAGATTCAGTATTAGCAAAGAAAGGACAAGAAGAAGAGGAGGAGGAGGGAGAGAAAGAAAAGAAGAAAAATACTGTTCAAATGGAAGGAGGAGGAGGAAGAAGAAACAAAGAATTAAAATTAGAAGTAGTAGTAACAGATGTAGCAGCATCAGTTGTAGAAGTAATATTAGTAGTAGTAGTAGAAGGAGCAGCAGCAGTAGTTAATATATAAAAAAAGTAAGGTAAAGATCCCTTATTACGCCTAAGGCGCATCGGGTATATGGGCAGAGCGTCCCATATTTTTACAGACCAATCGGCACTGGATGGGTAATGTGGTCAGCATTACGCCGGCCGTCTTTACTTCCCCAGACAGCCATCCTGGTACCCATTTTGGGCTGGGTCGACCTGCGACGCCCCATACTACGATAAAAATCCACGCAGCCAGCAGTGGGTTTCGATCGCGGTACGTTGGATTACGAGTCCGACTCGCAACGCCTAGGCCACGGATGCCGCAGTTAATATATAAGAGTAGTAAATAGTCTCCTACCATTTTTACATTACGTTTCCAGACCCGGTTACATCGGCCGAGGCAAATAGGACATGACCGCGTCATGGCGAACCCACCACACTCGTGACACTCCTCGCTGAACTGGTTATCAAACCAACATTTGCCACACCTGTCCGAAGTTTGAATAAATGAAACGATGAACACATAAATAGAGAAATAATACAGTAAGTGACAGTGAAATTGTTTCACACTTAAGTTCTTCATGTTAGCCAATCAGGTACTGTCTCCACAGTGAAGGTAGGCTGCAATGGATCTCCAACATGCTCTGTCTCTTGTCTTGGTAATACACTATCCTGCTGTTTGTCTATCTCTCAATGCTGTCCTCTTCTGTTTTTGCCTTCAAAATTTTCCCTCCAGTATGGTTTTTAAAAGAGTGTTAATGTGGCTGAAATATTTAAACTGCCTCTTGTTTTTTATTTCTTTGGTAACTCTTTTGATTTGCAGTCTTTTGAGAACCTCTGAAACTGATTCTATGAAATACAACCTATTCTTCTGTAGGTCCAAATTTCTCGAGACTTAATTAAATTTTCTAGTTGCTTGTTCACTCTCCATGTTTCTGGACTACACAAAAGTGCTGAATATACAATAACAAAAATGTATTCTCAATGTACCAGGGTTTGCTTAAGTGGCGGAAAATTTTGAAAAAGACAGTTCTGATGGCTTTCAGTCAGTGGTACAAGAGTCACCTCATGCAACAGACTGGGAGCTCTTCTTCTTCTCTGGTCTTGTTCTGTCTTTCAGTGTCATGTCTGAAGAAAAAGGGGCATCGGCTGCGCACCTTGGTATCTGCTACATCAATACTGGTATTTGCAGTCTCAGATATTCCATCTATCCATCGTCTGCGTGGCTGACCTCTAACTCTGCTTCAGTTACGTCTTCTCCTCCTCGGCGTTCACCGACTGTTAACACCAGCAAAAAAGTTCTGGTTGTTCATTTACTTCTGGACTTTGGTCTTGTTTCAGATCTTGAGTTTTAACACGCACATCCATTTTACAGATCTGGCTTATTTGTATGTTGGTTCCTTGCGTCTCAGGCAGATGCACCCGACTTTGAAAGAAGCACTACTAATTAGTCGACTTTAACGACAAGCTTTGTTAGCAGAGCAGTGGGTCTATTGGGGCCTGGAAACCGACATGGAGACAGTATGTCTAAGTGACAGGGTTCTCTGAAACCTCAACAAGATGGCAGTGGACACACTGCAACCAACCTCCACTGTGGAGATGACAGACACACACACAAAGACAGGAGAAATATGGTAGCATCGTGGTAAGCAAGCTTGCATATCCATACTGTCCTGCCAAACTACAGGTTTGTGTGCATATTCACACATTTATCCACTCAAATGTGGACCTGAAGGTTGTGACGAAATGACCTCAAGGGTCTCAGAAGTTATATTGTGTTTAATAATTTCTTATGTTCAGAGAAGGACAAAGAATTATAAGCAATATGCACTGAGCCTAAAATAGTTCTAAAACCACTACAAGGGATTTGAAAATTGTTTACTTTGTTTCCCTGTCTCTCGCCAGACAAAGCAACCCCGCTTTGTGTAATATTACCTAATACTACCTTAGTTAGGGATTCCTTTCACCAGCCAGTGTCATATAATTATCTCCTGCCCACAGACTGTAGGGGCCAGCAACTGGAAACTAATTTTCACACCTGAGATTATCTCCCATGAAGCCAACCTTAGTGTCATTAAAATGTTACATAACACAGACTGAGTGGGCCCTTTTGAACAGAGCAGATCAGGGGAATTAAATGGTCTGGTAGACAACTCTAGACAATGATGGCGTCTAGTGGCTGGAGTTTCACACATGTCAGTGAAATTCTCAGGAGAACAGATGGTTGCCAATTAGGAATGTCTGATCTTGGTCAAGGTCGTACTGTAGGCCATTCACTTTGAGTGACAGGCCCATTGATAGCTATGTTGATCTGCAAGGTACCTCAGGGGCGTGGCTTAGGTCATCTCCTGGAGGGTTGGGTAGAACCTAGTAAAGGGAGGAGTTTAACCTTGCAGACAGATAGAGGTATTAATAATACTAGCCTCTGGAATTCCCGTCATAATCGCTGCCACCGGTAACAAACACAGATCGACGTAGAGGTAATTCTTACTGTCTGATTCTGGTTTGGCGATTGATGGAATGTTCCCAGGTAAGCTCGTACAATTATTTTCAATATTGTATACATAGGTTAAGGAATTAGCTAAAGCCTATTCTACCTTTTCCTAATTTGTCTACACATTCTGCTTGAAATAGTTCTTTGTGAGTATTCAGTATCTCCGTTAGGGAACTGCTAAACCATTTTCTATTTCTTGTATGTTTTGTGCCACATGTTTTTCAGTGTATGTTTTCATGTTTATAAAATAAGACTTGCATCCTGAAATGTAATGAAATTATAATGTTTCAACCATCAATTAAAACATGAGTTTGGACTGTGGGAAATGCTGCTACGTTTTGTGTGCCTACCATGCGCTCGCTCAATGTGTTCACCTAAACAGGGGATTTATAACCCCAGGGGAAGAATCATGGGTGTATATTATTCACTGTCACTGAAAGATAATATTCAGGTCAGCCGGCACGTATAAAATGTTTTGTGTGTTCAGCACATAACCTGCGCCACATGTTTATGTCAAATCAATGTCAGCCAGTTGGAAGTCTGAGTGATGACGGACAACAGACTTAGAAAGTCAACTATCATGACAGAACATGAGAGGGAAGGCAGGTTATGTTAAACGTCGGTGTGAGACTCAAAGACCTTCAGACTAGACTGGAGAGAATGTGAAATATGAGGAGGAGTGATGAGATATAATGTATTATTATATATTGTATTAATTGATACATGTATTCTTAGTGTAAGTCAAGATACTACACGTATGTGTTTGTTTCCATGATTACAGCTTCCATGTGACGATCAGTCTTTTCTAAGAACAGAAATAGAGGGTCATCACGGGCACGAGACTACATTGTATTAGAACTTGGCCAGCTGGGAAACAAGTGGGAACCAGGTGGAACCAGGAGAACTGGGCGGAAAAGTTGGAACGGCTAAGAAGGGACTCAACACGAGGACTCTCAGAAGCTCCACTTTTCTAAAACAACAAAAGTTACATATCATGTATTTATGTAACTAAACACCACCATTATAACTTCACTATAATCTTAGGTGCTCAGTTAGCTGAAGCATCTCATTACCACCATACCATCACTGCTGGCTAAAAATATAAATAACCAAAATGATTGCTAGGTTAATAAATCAAATATATGGTCTTATCCTGCATCAGTTTTTATAATTTCAAGTGTGTCTGTTCTTACCTGTTTACTTAAACTGTTAAGATAGAATAGCATTTGGTGGGAGCTCATTGAATAATAATAATTCTTTACCAAGGGAAGGTCGACGGAATGGGTCAACTGCCCTATGTAGTAAATCATTCAATATAACAATATATATAGACATCTAAAATTCATTTCCTTCTCTTGTAGGTACCAAGTGCAGCTAATGTTAAAATAATTAACGAGCCAACATGGCCGTTTTCTTGGATATCCATGACGTTGTCTGAGAGCAATATAGCCCGGACATTAGTTCAGTTAACCTGGTGGAGGGGATGTGTTGAGAGGAAAATCCCTACTCAACATATAAAACTCAGTAAAACCAAAATCCAGAGAACCCACGACCCGTTACAACACACAAAAGTTTTGTAATAACAAAGGGAAGTGGGCCGTAACGTTACAAGGTAGAGGGTTTAAATCTGAACAAAATCAGACTTTTTTTTAAAAATGACCTTGGATCCCAGACAAAGTCTTGAGGCGTAAAGTGCCCACTGGTCTATAAAATATAAGTCTCGCACTAGATGCCCAATATGTCTGAAAAAGGGTACTTTAACACACTTATATCTGTCTGCTTTAAGCTCGCATACATGCGTGTGACCCTTTCCTTTAATGAATGTGTGAATGTATACGTCCATCTTTTTATACGTGCATGCATATACCTGTCTGCTTTCATGCATCTGTATTACAGATGCAGAGGTGCTGAATCACATGTGGGGATGCACAGTGACCAGTGCTTATACGGGCCATGACATATTTATACCTCTTTGTGGACATCCACGAAACAGGTTCCCTACTGGATGCATGGTCAAGGTTGATAGGAGTGATATTTTATTCAAAGTCAGAGTGCATCTGCCTGAGAGGCAAGGAGCCAACAAGCAGCACATAAAATAAGCCACACCTGTAAAATGGATGTGCATGCAACACTCAAGTCTTGGAAAAGGCCAAGTTTCTTGTTATCCACATATCCTCGTGTGGGTTCCAGGACCCCGTTAAAGGGGAAAAAAGAATAGACCCACTGCCTACCCAAAAGCATGTTGTAAGAGTTGACTAACTGGGAGCTTCCTTCGAAGTCAGTGCATCTGCCTGAGAGGCAAAGAACCAACAGCCTGTATACAAATGAGTCAGATCTGTAAAACGGATGCACACGTAACACTCAGGTTCTAGAACAGGACTGCAGTGCAAAAGTGGATGAACAACTATAACTTTCTGCTAGAGTTTACAGCTGGTGAACGCGAAGACAAAGAAGAGTTATCCACATCCTAGCACATTAGCCTGATCCATCCATGCTGTCCTCCGTTGACACACCCAGTGGATATTTTCTCTCTCTGCACTGCCAACTTGTCCTTGTTTAATACCCATTTCCAATAGGTAGTTCATCATCTCTGACTCCTTCGGAATATAGAGCATTCAGTGTGTCTGCCCTGTTCATATTTCTTCCTCCACTAACAACTGCAGACAAGGCCATGTCCAGAGGTGTATGAACAACCAGGACTTCTGCCAAAGATTTCAACTGGAAGAGCTAAAAGGAAGAAGCATAAAGTGTTTGATTGCTCGCTTTCATGATTTTGTGTGTGTGTGTGTGTGTGTGTGTGTGTGTGTGTGTGTGTGTGTGTGTGTGTGTGTTTGTGTGTTTGTATCTGCTCATTTGTGCATGCATATCCCTGTCTGCTTTCATGCATGTGTTTATGTGTGCCCATCCATCTACCATTATGTTTTCTTTTTCCTGTGTGCGCCTTGCGGGTCAAACTGCATATGCATAAATACGATCGCATGTTCAATTTAAAACATCTTTCTGTCTATGGGCATACCCACAAACACTCACACAAGCTGCTGCTTCTTCAGCATTCTGAGACATAGAGGTTTACTGTTGCAGCTATCACCCACCTCCATTCATCTCTCTGGCTGCCCTTCTCTTTTCAGCTGGTGACTCCAAGTGTTTGTAGGTCTGCCTAGACATTATCTCTCCATCGTCTTTTTGGTCTACCTTGTAGTATACAACCATTCATCTCCCTTGTATACACTGTTTTTACCTCTCTGTTATCTGACATTCTCTCAACATGCCCAAGTCATCCCACTTTATTAGCCCTCATGACGCCAGTGATCAATGGTGATCGACACAAGCAAATGGAATCTTACATGTGACACGTGTCAATCTTTCTCTGATATGGCTCTGCCTTCATCATTTGTTCGACTTCTTCCTTGGGAATATCATGTCCTTGCTTTCCAGGGTCAAAGTCGCAGAAGTAAACAGATGCCCGGGGACCTTCGAGGACTTCATCTGTTGAGAACATGCAATATTCTGTTTAAAAATAAAATAGATCAGAGGGCAAATTTATACACAGGTGCTACAGAGTAATGAACAGCATTCATTTATTACATAATCATCTGAGGTCTTCTTTTTCTTTTGCTATATCTGCCCTTAAAAGGGTGGTTGGTACGTTGTGTTGTGCTTTACCGCTAGGCTGCAAACTCTGCACCTTTCCACGCAATACATCAGAAATCCTCAATTACTGTAAACTGTGGCATAAAAATCAGACAGCAATACAAGCCAACCTCACAATTTTAGCTCAAAATTATGCACTGGGCCTGTACTACCACATAAGTCGACCTACCCCACCCCATACATGTAGCGACAATACTGAATTTGTGTAACTTTTATACTGTTAGTGTTTAAATGCCAAATATGTTCACCAAACACAAGTTTTAGTTGGATATATTTGAGGTGGCCTGGTGAAGATATGGTAAGTGACTGTTAGGAGCGCTATCCCACTTGTTTACAACTAGGTTATGAAGGTCTGCATTTGAAACCTGCCATACAAGTCGACGCCTAGATTTGGAAGGATCTTTAGGCTTGAAAACTCAACTTATATGCAGTGGTTTATGGTAGCCGCCTTTTTTTGACATGCTTGTTAAGAGGGAATTGACTGGAATAAAAACAGACTTGTGACTGTTACTAATTCATCATCATTATGCGCCATTTTAAATTAATCCATAACTATAAAAGTCTCAGATCAAGTCTGTTCTTGTCTTAATTATATGACGTCCTTAAGACATCCAGGTATTTATATCTTTGTTCCCCCCTATGATGTGTACAGATGTCATAGTTATATGTTTATGCATCCCCTCTAAGCCAAAATTCAAAATAATCAAAACACAATCTTGACTTTCTGGGTCTAATTTCTCTAACCTTCTTCTTCTTTGTTCATCCAAAGATTTAAAATGCATTGTGCGTTTTTACAGCACGGCTGCGATTTTTGCAACTTTTGGCAGACACATCAGACTTTTGCGGGCTTTTGGTGAACACGTTAGCCTTTCTGGTACTTCTCTAACCAGTGTATGACTTTCGACACCTTTCACGAATTGCCTCATTTGCTTTTTTTCTCTGTCTATGGTATTCTGTGCAGTTTTCTGGAAGCCACATTTTCTCTACCATTTGATACTTCTCAGTGTGTCTCTTACTGTCCATGTTTTAAATTTATACAACAGTACATGTTATATATTGACATGTTTCTTCATTGCAACTGTTTCAGTAATTACAGATATTTACTAGTAACTGACCACTAAGTTTTCTTTCAACTATTTTCTACTGAAAGGCCTAAAATATTTCCAAAATATTGGCTTCTTTTTATCGAGTAGGATGCTGCCAAAGGCCCTTTGCGTTGAAGTGATAAAAGGTGCATTATCATAAACAAAAGGATCAAGACGTTAATCCAAGACAAATGATGTGAGATTAACAAAGTACAAAATTGAATATTTATATACATTAGTGTCTTCATAATGTCTGATGCAAATTATGTAATACACACTCATTGAGATACAGATATATATGCCAGGCTAAAAATTATGCAATATATTATTACTGAAATTTTTTAAAATTTTCCATAAGAGAAAATTATTTTGAACCATAGACACATTTATAAATAACTTGACATGAAATTGAATGTGTTAGATATGGTGGATAAAAAGACAGCAGAAAAAAGAAACTAGTTTTTTTTTAACGGCACAGCTCATATTTTCGGGCCCAGCGACACCAAGATTGGCTGTTCATCTTTACCTTTTACACCCAGGACGTTTTTTACAGGGGTGTCAGGGTAAAATGCCCTTTCTCATGGGCTGTCCCCTAGGGGGGTTGGAGTTAGGGCCAGTTGTAGATGTTAGGGGGTCGTTCAAAGTAACGGTAACACAGTGTAGTATGGAACACGGGATATCGCCGGTGATAGTGTAGGAGACTCTGCAACCTGACTCCCCCTGTAAGAGAAAGTCACATGTGTGAAAGGTTAAGAAGCATCAATGAAGAGCCAATCACAGTGTTGCTGGCCCAAAAATGTGAGTTGTACCAACAAAAAAACTGCTCAATCCAAAAAAAGGCAGAAAGCTTAACTTACCATCTGATTCATTGTTAACATTTGCTACCTCCATGGCCTCATCTACAACGTCTTCATCAGCGAAACCTTCATCTCCCAACGTTCTAGAGTCAGGGTCCATCACCCTAGCACACAAGGAAATCTGAAATATTGGCATATTTTTTAAATTTCTGATCTGAATTCACAATGCAGTTAATCTACCAACCAATCAATCATTTGCCATCTTTAGAATGAAGGCTGGCTGCAATAGATTTATAATTCTCTGTTCTTGCCTTGACTGTACACTCTGAAACTGCTGTTTTTTTTCTTGATGTTATCTGATTTTTTATAGATTGTGTACAGTGATGTCAATTCTCTGCTGATTTATTTAAATGGCTGTCTGCTTCTTGCTTGTATGCATTCAACATTTTGCCCCTCTTTCAACAACTCAACTCTTCATTCCTAATCTCTGCAGAACCTTTGTATTTGGCTGTTTTTGTTTCCATGAAATACAACATATTCTCTATATACTGGCATCTTCTGACCCTCAATTCTGACAGGGTGTACAAACAGAATTTCAACTCAAATATTATAAAGTCTAAAAAAAACCTGGAATACTGCCTGCCTACATTTAGAACTACCCTATTTCGGAACTTTGCTACGCAGATGACAGTCCTCCTTTCGAACAGCATAAAGGGAATAGAAAATTTAATATTGTCTGTCCAAAAGCACAGTGAAGATCAAAATCTGTTCTTGAATTTAAAGAAAAGAAAAATAATGTAGACAGATAAAACTGGCTGTCACCCAAAAAACAATAAATGATGAAGAAATTGAAAATGTCACAAACTTTGAATATCTAGGCCCTGTAATAAATAGCATTGGAGACTGTTTGACAGAAATTAAAAGGAGGATGGCCATAGCAATGCAAAGATTGAACAGTCTTAAAAGTCTATGGTTAAGCACCAGCAAGAAGATCAAAATTAGAATTTTGAGAGCATGCATCTTCCCTGTGGCTACATACAGATGTGAGTCGTGGACTATCTCTCAGTCTTTAACTCTTTCAGGCCCATGAATTTTGACAGACTTGGCCCACATTAATTTCCCTTTACAAAAATGGCAGAGGGGTGGGTGTACAAGAAAGGCTGTAGAGATTGTAATATACTTCTAATCCCTATAAAAATATATATTTTGTAAAAGAGAAATGAATGTACTTTTTGAATCTGATGATAAGTGTTTGTTTGATTTTGTTATAGTTAGTGAAAAAGAAGAATTCAGCAGGTGTTAATTTCACAAGGACAACATTTCACCAAAAAAATTCTTCACTTACCATGGTTTTGCAGCCACAAGAGCAGTAAATATCTAAATTTGAGAACAAAACTTCAAAGTTTGTTCAATTTCCTAACATATTCTAAAGTTATGATAACTTTCTGGGTTAGTTTATCACTCAGGAGCTCTTAGTTCTCATCGAGTGCTAAGCAAAATTTCAGGGAAAAAATGGCAGAAAAATGAGCCATTACACACACACTATTTACTATTCACTTTGTACAGTTATTTACAGACTGTAGCTGCGATGATTTCAATATAGCTTAGCCATAATATAGTACTGTCTCTTTGTTTACACCATAAATATGGTAGTATGGGACATTGTCTGTGTAATAAACTCATCAGAATCGCTAGATTCGGAACAGCTGATCGCTCAGCTTCACTAGCGAAAATTCACCGTCCGAATCACTTTCCGAAAAATCTAAAAATTTTTGTTTATTATTATCACAATTAAAAACATCTGACTGAAACAATTTCAGAGCTTCGGCCGCAGAAAGATGCATTCTGCGACCTGTTCTTGTGGTTAGAACATTGGTATTCATGGCACTCAAAAACAAACAAAAAAAATGAACTGTTAAAAAAATTTCGCTGTTTTTCTCTCTCAAATTATCCACGTGTGGTTTAGTCCAGGAAATGAAACTAAAAGGATTTTGGCAGAGTGACTTTCCCTGAATAGTTAAATGGTACCTCCAAACATTAGAAACTAGTACGAACGTGCGTGCAAAACAAAGTGTAAGGGACACACGACTGACGATGACACCCTTGTTTGGGCAGAACGGAACTTCTCAAACTACGCTCACACCGTTGTTTGGGCCTTAAAGAGTTAAGAAAGCGAAAAGGGGCTTTTAAGCTGAAATGCTATAGAAAGATTCTCAGAATATCTTGGACAAAGAGGAGGAGAAATACTGACTTCTTGAAAGATCTGAACATCAAGGAAGATTGGCTAATAAACAGCATTCTGTCTCAGAAGCTGAAATATTTTGGTCATATCAAGCGCCACAACGGACTGGAAAAAATTATAGCAGAAGGCATGGTACCAGGAAGGAAGGGCAGGGGCCGACCGACACGAAGATGGGCATAGGATATTAGTGACTCCTTGAGTATGAAAGTCTTCTTCTTCTTCGCCTTCACCAGCTGTAAACTCAGGCGGAAAGTTCTGGTTGTTCGTCCACTTCTGGACTGCAGTCCTGTTCCAAAACCTGAGTGCTGCGTGTGCATCCGTTTTACAGATCTGACTCATTGGCATGCAGACTGCTGGTTCCTTGCCTCTCAGGCAGATGCACTCTGACTTCTAAGGAAGCACCCAATTAGTTGACTCTTACGACATGCTTTTGGGTAGGCAGTGGGTCTATTCTTGTTTTCCCTATAAAAGGGCCCTGGAACCCACATGGGTAAGTATGAAAGTACATGAGGCGGGAGAACTGGCGAGAGACTGAGTTTCTTTCAGGCAGACTGTGATGAGAGCGATGTTCTGCAAAGGACTTGCTACATGATGATGATGACATTTAGAACTACAACACTAAGTTATAACATCTTATTCAAAATTACTATTTATACAGATTCTTAAAATTAATATTAGGAATACTATTTTATGTTATGCAACTTGAAAAAAAATTTTTAAATAAAAACAAAGGCCCATGTTGGCCACTCTACTTTATTTACAAATAAGTTAGGTCAATTTTATAATCTTGGTCTATATAATTGTACTGTGATGTTCTCCAGTAAGAATAAAATTCTAGTTGCTGAAACCAAAACATCGAAATTAAGCATAAATAACCACTGCTGTGGCAACCACTATCACCATTATTAGAAAACCTGGTTAGTTTGACGTAGTCTCCCCAGACCCTGACCAGACACACTAGCTCACTTCTGATTGGTAGTTCCTGAGTGCCATGACCTTTCCACACCATTACATGGGTGTTCCGCAATGCTGTTGATACTGCGTGTTGTATATTTCAGCACGCCAGCGCTTTTAACACTCTAAAAACATGGAGAAACTGGGTCTAACACAACCCCTTTAGAGAGTGCTGCAACCTATGTCACAGGAATTCTCTTTCTCAGAATGAAAACGTAAAGGTAAGACATCGCAGAGACCAAACAACAGAGTGGGACACAACCATAACCTTCAGGAAATTCGACCAGCTCAACAAATTTGTGAATTAAAAGTGACCATTTCTATTCTGGGAGATTAACGTCGAACTAACCAAAAACCTTTTTAAAAATCTACCATGTGCGATTTACTGTGATCTGTGGTGGTGATGCTTTTCTTTTATCTGCTGTTTATAATGAACATTTGATGATCTCATTAGTCCTATACATACAATACACAGCTAGAGGTTTAGTTTAGCACCACCACCATGTAATATCATGTCCATGTACCAACAATGTGCAGTTAGAACAGAAGAAAGTATGTCTGATACATTTACAATCAAAACAGGGATAAGGTAGGGTTGTGTGCTCTCTCCTCTTTTATCTAATATATACATAGACTGAACATAAAAAGTTTTAAAGCAGTTGACGTAGAAAATACAGACAATGAGAAATGTTATTTTCCAGAGAAAGAATTAAATCCATACACAATAAACGAAGTTACTATTTGCAGATGATCAGTGACTATAGGGAGTAGACCGCAAAACTATTTGAACAGGCTAAATTAGACATGCGGAAGATATCATACGAAAGTAAATACAACAAAAACTGAAGTAATGCTGGTCAGCAGAATTCCTAGTCCACTTCATATAGGGTTCAATGGTAAACAAGATGCTAAGTGAACAAGCCAGTGCACTTTATACTTATATACCAACTGACACCGTTTTTAAGACATCCAAACATAAGTATGAGTGCCAAGAAATAGATTATAAACAGCATATTCATACAAGACATTGTGGTGTTAGACAGTGGAAGAATGGGCCTCAGTATGAATAATGTGAAGACAGAAGTAATGGTGGTATCAAAGAAACAAATTATTCCTAAATGTGTAATAAAAGTCGATGGTGTTATTTTGGGACAAGTACAGAAATTTAAGTATCTGGGCACATGGATAACATTAGATGGAAGATGCATAACTGAGATAAGAAACAGAATAGGACAGGCAAAAACTGCATTTTATAAAATGAAGAACATCTTGTGCAATATATCCTTGTCATTGAGAGTTAGAAAAAGAATTCTTGTTTGCTACATACATGCAGTTTTAACATATGGCTGTAAATCCCGGACAATCGGTAGGCAGGCCAAACAATTTCTTGAGGCCTCAGAGATGTGGTTTTATAGAAGAATGCTTAGAATACCTTGGACAGCTAAAAAAGAGCAACCAAGAGGTTTTGAAAGAGGCGGGAGCCCGAAGATAACTTATCACAGACATCAGAAAGAGACAGTCATAATTTTTTTTCCGGCCAGAACATGTTGTGACTACTGGAAAGATCTTTGGAAGGAGGGACAGAGGAAAACAACAGTCTTGTTTCATGGCATGGAGGTGTGTCGGCACACCCACTGATACATGCTGCAAGAGATCGCAGATTGTGGAGAGGCATGATCACCCACGCCAGTCGGCAAGGCACCTGATGATGATGATAATAATGATTCATACAAGCACTGTGCTACCAGTGCCAGACTTGGATATTATCAAAGACTAACCTTCGTATAAAACCTGTAAAATGAGATGCCTGAGAAAAGCCGTCAATTTAACCATCAGAGACAAAGTTAGAAATGATATTATCGATCAGACTGACTGTGGGAACAACATGCAGCAAGTTCGTTGAGACACAGAAGATAAAATGTTTTCGTCATTTAGATGCAGCCGCAACAACTACCAGGCGATAC